GTACGATTTTAGAAGCCTAAATTAAAAAAAAAATTCATTTATCTTTGAATAAAATTTTTCAATTTTTTAAAAAATCGCCTTTTTTTCNATTTTTGAGAGAAAAAAATCGGTATTAAAATTAATGACTTGACGGAAAAAAAATTAAACGTATTCCTTCTGCAATTTACTTTATTAATTATGTATTAACAGTAGATTCTGGGAATTTGTACGATTTTAGAAGCCTAAATTAAAAAAAAAATTCATTTATCTTTGAATAAAATTTTTCAATTTTTTAAAAAATCGCCTTTTTTTCAAAATACTTATATCAAAAAGTAACAAAGTTATAAAAAAAATGATAGAATAAGAAATTGTAGGTTTTTTCTTACTGAACAATTTGCTTCTTTTTAAATTTTTGTAGGACTAAATTTGACCGAGTTATGACCGTTAGAAGCTCAAAACTAAGCTCCAAGACTGCCTTTCCTGAGCTCTTTTTGCTTACAAATCTAAAAAATGAAGGGTTCAAAAAACTGCAAATCACAGAACTTAAAGTGCTTTAAATTCCCTACAAAACGGTTTTTTGAGTTAATTTATAACTTTAAAATTACAAAAGTTATGGTAAAGAAAATTAGTCGCATTTTTTCGGTAAAATTTTCGGTGCAGGCAAATTACCATTATCTTTGTGTATTTTGGTGCACTTGTGAACTGATTTGAGTAAATATTTTAATAATATACATACACACACGTAACCGAGTTCACATGTATATGCATGTTGCTACGCTATTCCAACCTCTACTACTCTACTAGTCAGAAGTCAACAAATAGTATAGCTGGAAAGGCAGCAACTCTTAATCTCAGGGATGAATTTGTCTGTCAAGTCAGGGCACACAAGGTTACCTGTGAAAAGGAAGTTATTAATAAAGGCCAATTCCCACATAGCAGCGCCGCAGCAGCGCGGCAGCAGCGCTTCATAGCGTCGCTGCGATGCAAAAACTTGGTAGGCATTCCCACTTAGCAGTGCAGCACCAGCGCAGCGGTTAATATTTTAGAAGAGTAGTGTTCCGACTATCTAATAGAACGAACGTATTTTATTTTCAAAATGTCGAGTTCCTCGTCTAGTGATATCCTAGATATATAATTTATTAATATTGCCTTAATCCTACTTAGAAATGTAGAGTTTTGTCAGTAATTTTATATTACTCTAACAAAATCAAACTACCTGCATTTACTAACTACATATAATTAGTGATTACAAAGTCCAACAGTCACCGCGAAACGTCTGGTACCTCTCCCATAGCCAAATAGTGAGCGATATGTATCGAGATTTGTCGAAAACACAGCAGTGTTTGCTGCTTCCTAATGTCCACTTGGCAGCGCGACGAAGNCATACTCACATATAATTTTTAGGAAATTTTTCTATAAGGGGTAGGGTTTTTTATGAGGGGTAGGTCTTCCATAAGGGTTTTTTGAGTGGCTGAAAAGTTGCAATATATCATAGATCATTTGAAAACCAAGAAAAAGTTTATAATTCAACATATGCATACCATTAAAACATCTCAAGTTTTCAATAATATTTTATTTTATTATATGGGATGGTTTCTAAGGGTTGCAACTTTGTAATGAGTCGTAAGCTTTCTAATGAATAACAAAAGAAATGCAATAAATTGTGAATGCACCAAAAGAATATTTTAAACTGTTAAAAACTTTTTTCTATTTTTGGCCATGGAAGGGTAGTTTTTAAGGATTTTTAAGGGTTGAAAAATAATTCAATTTTATAAATTATATTAAAAAACATGAAAGGAACTTTTTCCAACATATTTGCACATGAATTGAATCTTTAAAATACGTAAAACCGCGATTTTCGCATTTTTTTCGTACAAGGGTAGTTTTCACCCCCAAATAGAAAAAAGCACACATCTAGACAATATAACTTTTGAAGTGGGGGGTCAGATGAGCTTGTATGCAAATTTTCAGGAAAATCCATGCTATNCAAAAGCTCAGTCCTGTAGTTCAAACGATTCCTAAGATATTGGCGAAAAACTAAAAAAAAATTAAAGTTTTGACACCGTGTATCTCGAAAACGAAAGCCAGGAGAGAAAAATGGAAGAGGAAAAAAATGATTCTTTTTTCAAGAGGAATTTACAGTCTTCCGTTGCGACACTTATTTAGGAACACCCTGTATAACTTTTGAAGTGGGGGGTCAGATGAGCTTGTATGCAAATTTTCAAGAAAATCCCTGCTATCCGAAAAAATTGGGAGCTTTTACTTTATTTTCGCCTTCAATGACTGGACCAGCGTTGCCAGACGTCCCGATTTTGGCGGGACGTCCCGCTTTTTAACCCAAAATTAAATGTCCCGCGCGGGACACGCTCACTCCCGCTTTTTCCGCCTGTTATTAAATAGATATTTCCTGATTACGTCCCCCTTTTTTTTTAGACATCGATTTTATTGAAGACAATTCGTTTCCGAGATATCCTGACCTTTTTTTTTTTTTAATCATCGATTATACAAACCCGGAGTATGTCCCGTTTTTGGACGAAAGAATCCCGCTTTTTTATTCAAAATCCCGATTTGCCCGAAAAAAATATAGCAACGCTGGACTGGACTAATATGGGTACCTGAATTTAAGAATCTTCAACTGTCCCGACGAGGTGACAGCCAGCCTCGGCACCAGGTTTGCATCGTTCACACCCCCCAGACGCAGCAGACGCTGGCCACTCCACAGCCCCACGTCCTGTTCTCCACTGGGATAAGTGAAAATTCCCGGTCCGAACCGCAGGTTGTCCTTGAACAGACCCTGGAAGTTCGAGCCGTCGTTGTAGAAGACCTGCGCGTATCCCTCTAGCTTGTTCGCGTAGAAAAGACCATCATAAAAGAGCTTATTCTCGTTATCAACGAAGTAAAAGCCGTGTCTGTGGATGTTCGCCTGGAACACGTCGCCCACGTAGCTTTGGGGTGGATCTTTGGTCCATTCTTTCTTAATTTTGTCTCGTCTGTCGAGATATACCTTGTATAAGTCGCTGAAGTTATCTGATTGGAAAAAATTATTTTGAATATCGAACATCACCAATTAACTGTCAAGAAATAATAACATGTCATCATAGACTACTTTCTCATAAGCGTTAATATTGTTCTAAGGAGAAAACGGGGAGCGAGTAAGGATAGATGCAAATATATGTGGAAATTATGAGTAAAAAGTTTCAGGTGGTTCTATTAATGGAAATAAAGGTACGATAATAGCAATTATTAAGAAAAACGTTCTGTGATTTGCAAATTTTATAGAATCGACGATATACCTCATTCTGCGTTTGCAAAAAGTAAAATAGACCGGAATCCCAATTATTTACAGAAAAATTACGAAATTTCCAAAAAAAAATTCGAAATGCTTGAAAATTTGTCCATAGGGACTTTCTAGACGTCGAGAATTGCCAACGGCACTATTGATGATGATCGATAATTTATTCAGAACAATCAATAGTTTTCGACTGTACCTTTGGTAAATAAATATGAAACAGTTGTTTACTAAAAATGTTACATTTTATAGAACTAATAGGACTGTTGTAATAAATTATAAATGTATAAACAAAAACCAACAGTGTCGTAATTAAGGTCATCAGCACCCAAGGCAATATTTGAATTTTGCGCCCTCTAAAACTTATTTTGTAGGAAGAGAAACAGTAGCATTTGCGCCACCTTGAGGTTTGCGCTAGAAACAAATTACGTACCTAAGATGTGAAAGAAACCTAGCCATACATCTAGATAGCAGTATCTTTCAAATGCGGAAGATGGCGTACTGCTGCCTAAAAATTGAACAATTTCAGCCAATGTAATGTAAATAAAAAATCCATTTATCGACCCTTCGAAATTTAAAAATAACGTTGAATTGAACATACCTACTATTTGCATGATTTGACAGCTTAAATAGACTTATAATATGATTTGAGTATTTTTCAATGGTGCTACTTCTATTGTTTCAAAAAAAAGTAATTTTTGACGTCCTATATCTCAAATACAAACGACGATAGGCAAAAGTTTTAATTATTTCTAGTAACTTGACATAGATTTATATTAATACCAAACACATTTTTGTTAATTTGTGACGTATTAAAGTTTAGCCAAATATTTTTAATTATACCTTATATAGTTTTCAAAACAATAGTTTTAAATTATTTCTGATAATTTCTTTTTCCAACACAGTGAACTTACTCTTCAGACTTCATTTTAAATTTGGCGCTGATTTTGATTGTGTTATGGAATAGAGGGCGCTGGAAACTTTACTTCTCTTTCTATTTGTGCAAAACACGCAAAGCTCTGTAAAATGGTAGGTATAAAANGACTGTTGTAATAAATTATAAATGTATAAACAAAAACCAACAGTGTCGTAATTAAGGTCATCAGCACCCAAGGCAATATTTGAATTTTGCGCCCTCTAAAACTTATTTTGTAGGAAGAGAAACAGTAGCATTTGCGCCACCTTGAGGTTTGCGCTAGAAACAAATTACGTACCTAAGATGTGAAAGAAACCTAGCCATACATCTAGATAGCAGTATCTTTCAAATGCGGAAGATGGCGTACTGCTGCCTAAAAATTGAACAATTTCAGCCAATGTAATGTAAATAAAAAATCCATTTATCGACCCTTCGAAATTTAAAAATAACGTTGAATTGAACATACCTACTATTTGCATGATTTGACAGCTTAAATAGACTTATAATATGATTTGAGTATTTTTCAATGGTGCTACTTCTATTGTTTCAAAAAAAAGTAATTTTTGACGTCCTATATCTCAAATACAAACGACGATAGGCAAAAGTTTTAATTATTTCTAGTAACTTGAAATAGATTTATATTAATACCAAACACATTTTTGTTAATTTGTGACGTATTAAAGTTTAGCCAAATATTTTTAATTATACCTTATATAGTTTTCAAAACAATAGTTTTCAATTATTTCTGATAATTTCTTTTTCCAACACAGTGAACTTACTCTTCAGACTTCATTTTAAATTTGGCGCTGATTTTGATTGTGTTATGGAATAGAGGGCGCTGGAAACTTTACTTCTCTTTCTATTTGTGCAAAACACGCAAAGCTCTGTAAAATGGTAGGTATAAAAATTATTTTTAATTATTTACACAATCTTAAGGAATTTAATTAATTTATTCTTCCCGACGTGTACTAGAAATTATAACAATTCAATTGTAAAAAGTATTTTTCTAGATGGTACTGTTTTAATTTTGATATTCAAATTTCATTTAAGTTGGGTTATGTGTCGTGTTTACAACTTTTTGATGTTACCTTTGTTAATGCTAATCAGTTTTATTTAATACATAAATTCTACTTTTGCGTTTATTCAGGATATTGTAATGTTTATATAGTACTTACCTACATATATTTCTTTTTAGGCGAAACGTACGAAGAAGGTAGGAATCACTGGTAAATACGGTACCCGATATGGTGCTTCCCTACGTAAAATGGTTAAAAAAATGGAGATTACTCAACATAGTAAATATTCCTGCAGTTTCTGTGGAAAGGTAAAATTTGAAAATCGCCTTATATTTATGTTGTGTGCCAAATACTTTTTTTTTAGGATGCCATGAAGAGAAGTTGCGTGGGAATCTGGGCATGCAAGCGTTGCAAAAGGGTCGTAGCTGGTGGAGCCTGGGTTTACTCCACAACAGCAGCTGCCTCAGTAAGGTCAGCTGTCAGACGTCTAAGGGAAGTTAAAGAACAATAATTTTATAACTTAACAAAATAAAACGAAAATCCCAAAAATGTGTTTTATTATGCAGTTGTGAGAGATTTTAAAACTTTTGTATTTTTAAATTCGTAGAAATTTTTAAATACTACGAAAAAAGGAGTCGATGTATGGTCGTCCTAAAGGGGTTGTTTCTATGAAAACAAATATTCAAATAAAAGTATCGAATAAGTTAAAAATGGCAATACAGCTGTGAAAAAATTATTTTAAGTTACAATAAAAGATTTATACAAAAAATACAGATTCTGCACATAAATAGACCATTCAATCTCACGTCAAGGAAGACGGAGCAAAATTTTACCTGATCCTGAATCCTAGTAGTTGTTTTCTTATAGAGGACAAAAACCTGTGTTTTCCATGTGTCCTTTAGGCATTTTAAATAAATAAATATTTTCAGAAATTTCAATTTGCACCCTGTATCTTGAAAAATAATCACTTCACAACCCATACGTTAACAGAATTTAGCCAAAATTCCACGTTTCCTTTAAAAAACTATTTTATATAATTATTATTTATATCGGGAAATTATTTTATTCAAATATTTGCAATGTTCTATTTTGTATTCTCCATTTTTCCGCCATTTCTACGAACTGTCGAAAAACGTGACAAACCGAAATTCCCCCACACCACCTGACGAGACGTTCTGAGTGCGATGTGACGTTCCGTGTTTGGCACAAAAAAATAAACACACTCATCGTCCCATAAATTGTAATTAATGTTTTCTCTCTCACGAAGCGCTCAAACTAACCATCAGTCCTAGGGTTCGGAACGAAACACGTTCGAGATGGACTACCTAGGTGACAACGGAGGCCTAGGGCTCACCTCGGACCAAACCGAGAAGGTGCTGCAATTCCAAGACTTAACTGGCATAGAAGACATGACGATATGCCGGGACGTGCTGCAGAGACACCAGTGGAATCTGGAAGTGGCAGTCCAAGAGCAGCTGAATATCAGGGAGGGCAGGCCTTCGGTGTATGCCTCGGAGTCTAGACCACCGGCAGTTGTAAGCGATCATTTAGGGCAGCATATCTACTACACGCCCCCGACAGACGGGTCTGGGTCAGGACTGAAGGGCTTACTTAAGACAATGTTTAGTTTTATGTGGAATATGTGCTACAGTACCCTGATGACAGTGTTGCAAATAAGCCGTCGATTACTAGGTACCAGTTTATTATTTTTAATCTCTCTACTTGTAGTGTTTCCACAATTTCTTTAAGGAAATCCATAGACAATAGATTTGCATGCGTTTTGTCAGGTTGAAGTAAAACTTTCCATTATTTTGCATGTACAAGGCTACGTAAACGGAATTTAAACTATGCACATAAAACATTATTTTTATTGGTTTCCTTATCGATTTTGTAAATATTATTAAGGCCATCATAAGTCAACCTTATCGACGAAGTTGCTCCACGTCGCCAAAATTTTGATTAAAGGCAACAAGTCACACACAAAGAGTTTCAAAATTGTCTTGATGTTTTCATATAAACTTTTTAGAATATTGAATTGATTTCTTTCGACGTGAAGACAAACGTAACGTTGATGGTTTAATTCAATACTGTCTCAATAATTGAGGACGTACAGATTATAACTAGATAGTTTTTCCTGCCCGCAATTACCAATCTTTTAGCCCCGTCCCATTTAGTAAAATAGTTGAAGAATTTAAAATTTAAAATATATCATTTCTGAAGTTGCAGGTGTTTGGGATTTAGCATAGAATTTTGAGTCATTTTTATCAAATCGATCTAATTTTGGTATCATTGCAAAGCTAAAAAATTGATCCACTTCCCTCTTGTAAGCAATTTTTGATTTAAGCCTTTATTTTTAAGTAAATAAATTGTAAATATGGCGATTTCTTGCACAGTTTACTCTTTAAATTTAAAAAAAAAAAATTAATTTTGAAAAAACTATTACACAATGGCCTTAGGAAACAATTTTGTCTTTCGATTGTTTTTTATTTGGGCCGCCATATTCGTTTTCCAAATAAGCGTCTATGTATTTCAAGCGTGTGACGAACTCTTAAAGGGGGTGATAGATAATATGTTAGAATATAAAGTTTCCAACCACTTTTTGATGTTTGTCGCTTAAAAATTGATCCTTTTCAAAAAAATTTGAGCAATGGGGCCACTTCTTTAGAAAATATTCATTTTTTTGTTGTGTAATTAACATAATTTCTGTTCCTTTAACCTCAAAAAAGTGTAAAACTTCACCGAGACTATTTATTTGGTATTTTTAAAAACACGGGTTCATTTATACGCAGGTTTAGAATTTCGGCCTCGATCGGACCCCGTGCAGGAGGTCATGGAGTTCATCAGAACCTACGAGGAGAAGTATTCTCGCGAACACCCGGTATTCTACCAGGGAACCTTCTCCCAGGTCCTCAACGACGCGAAGCGCGAGCTACGCTTCCTCCTCATCTACCTCCACGATTCCGAGGCGACCGACACCGAGCTGTTCTGCCGAGACACCCTATCCAACGTCAACGTCGTCCGCTACATCAACCAGAACTTCCTGTTCTGGGGGTGCTCGGTCAAGTCCGACGAAGGCCGAAAGACCCTAAATGCCGTTAAGGCCAACTACCACCCCTTCCTCTCTGTGCTGGTACTAAAAGAGAACCGTATGACTATAGTGGGCCGTATGGAAGGTTATTCCGATTCCGGCTTGCTGTTGCAGAGGCTCACTTCCGTGGTAAACGAATTCGAAATCAACTTGGTGTCCGCGAGAGCGGACAGATTTGAGGCTAGTATTAATAGATCGTTGAGGAGCCAGCAGGACGAGGCGTTCATGGAGAGTCTCAGGGCGGATCAGGAGAAGGAGCGCAAGAGGGAGGAACAGCGGATGGCCCAGGAGGCTGAACGGAGACGGGTGGAAGCGGTATAAAGCGAATTTGGTTTTTTTGAAATGTCCATTCGAATTTTTTCATTTGTTTTTAGGAAGCGCGGGCTGAGGAGGAGCGCAGGCAGACTATCGCCCGTGAGAAGATCGATTCGATTAGCAAAGTTCCAGACGAACCGGATGCTTCTCACCCGGACGCGGTTCATGTCGTCTTCAAATTACCATGTGGCAGTAGACTCGAGAGGAGATTTCTCAAAACACATTCCTTAGAGGTAAGGGTGGTTCTGCAACATTTAATGTTGCACTGTTGCTTCTCTTCTACCTTAAAATTTCAAATTTGAATTCAAAATTTTATATTCTAGGACAAAATTTTGAGTTTGAACAGATATTCAAATTTGAGTTTTGTGTTTAGACCTAGATTTTATCTTTTTTCTGGTAAGCATATTTCAAAATGCACTTTGGAGTTTCAACACAAAATTTCATGTTCAAACTCAAATTTGAACACGAAATTTTGGATTTGAACTTGAAATTTTGAATTATTGGTCATTTTTGTTGACACCGTTTGATAAAATCAGCAAATGATCTTTCTGTAATTTCAATTTAACATTTTATAATCGACCACGAAATTTTGAGTTTTCACTCAAAATTTTGAATTTCATTTTTCGAGTTTTGAATTAGTTTTAAAAACTTTTTTGGTACGTAATTTTCACATGTGCAATTTGAATTTTATCACAAAATTTCATGTTCAACCTCAAATTTGAACACAAAATTTTGAGTTTAAACTCGAAATTTTGAATTTGATTTTTCGAGTTTTGGCTTAATTTTAAAAACTTTTTTGGTAAGTAATTTTCAAATGGCCAATTTGGAGTTTTGTCAAAAAATTTCATGTTCAAGCTCAAATTTGAACACGAAATTTTGGATTTGAACTTGAAATTTTGAATTGGCAGTTATTTTCTTCGACACCATTTGGTAAAATCAGCAAATAAGCTTTCTGTAATGGTTTCATAATTATTCCCCATATTCCATCAGTTTAAAAAAATTTAGTGTATTTTACCAAATCTTAGAAAGCGGTTCATATTTCACGAGAATTTCAAGTTTTAGTTTAAAATTTTGAGTTCATATCCGAAGTTTTGAATATGAATTCAATATTTTATAATTGAGCATGAAATTTTGAGTTTGTACTCAAAATTTTGAATTTGGTTTTTCGAGTTTTGAATTAGTTTTAAGAACTTTTTTGGTAAGCAATTTTCAAACGCCCAATTTGGAGTTTTAGCACAAAATTTCATGTTCACACTCAAATTTGAACACGAAATTTTAGGTCCGAACTTAAAATTTTGAGTTAGCGGTCATTTTCCTCGACACCATTTGATAAAGTCAGCAAATAATCTTTCTGTAATGGCTCCATAGTTATTCACCATCTTCTATCACCGTTTAAAAAAATTTAGTGCATTTTACCAAAGCTCGGAAAGCGGTTCATATTTAAAAAAGGGAATTTCAAGTTTTAATTTGAAAATTTGAGTTCATATTCGAAATTTCGAATTTNCTTTCTGTAATGGCTCCATAGTTATTCACCATCTTCTATCACCGTTTAAAAAAATTTAGTGCATTTTACCAAAGCTCGGAAAGCGGTTCATATTTAAAAAAGGGAATTTCAAGTTTTAATTTGAAAATTTGAGTTCATATTCGAAATTTCGAATTTAAGTTCAACATTTTATAATCGGGCACCAAATTTTGAATTTGGTTGACCAAATTTTGACTTGAAATTTCTTCTTCAAACTCAAAAATTTGAATCTGAACTCAAAATTTTGAAATAGAGCTCTAAATGTAGAAGTTTAACATAAAATTTCACATTGAAACTCGAATATGAACAAAAAATTTCGAATTAGATGTTGGAATTGTAAAATTATTGTTTTAGTTATTTTGACTTGAAATTTCTTCTTCAAACTCAAAATTTTGAATTTGAACTCAAAATAGAGCTCAAATTTAGAAGTTTAACATAAAATTTCACATTGAAACTCGAATATGAACAACAAATTTGGAATTAGAGGTTGGAATTGTAAAATTATTGTTTTAGTTATCAAATTCTGAGTTCAAACTCCAAATTTTGAGTTGTAACATGAAATATTTTTCGTAAAGTTACCGTTTTTGGTATCACCGGATACGCTACCCCCATTTTTAATGTCTTCTACATCAAATTTTATTGAAAGGATTATCACAACACAAGTTTTCTATGTGGGCCTAGAAATCATCCCCGAAATTATTGTTTGGGTCTCATTCTTCCTTAGGGTAGCGTGTAATTGGAATGAATCGTATTATTTGCCTTTCAGGCTGTTTTCTACTTTGTATTTTGCCATCCGAACGCACCCGATTCCTTCGAGATCACCACGAACTTCCCCAAAAGGATTTTGAAGTGTCGTCCGGAGAACAGAGAGATGGTGGAGACCTTAGAGCAGGCGGGTCTGAAGAATCGGGAGGTGTTGTTCATCAACGACTTGGACGCATGAACCTCGGAAAGGGCTTAAACGCAATTACATCCAATCACCTCTAGATGCATACATTTTTAGTGTCATTAACTGAAGAAATTGTAAAGTAACACTTTACGTTTTCTCATTATTTATATTAAAAATTTGTTTACGTAGCTTAAGACAATATACATTTACACTTCCTTTTTTAATTTTCCGTCGGGATTAGTTAGCGTTACTTACCGTTCAAATTTGAGTTGTTTTTTTTTTACGCGGACCGGGTGTCAGGCTCGCCATTTCCAGGAAAAACTAAGACTCGACTTGTTCAAGACGAGAATGTGATCCTAGTACGTTTTAGATGGATATTTAATGCATTTATATATTGCACCCTTGTGATTTTTGTAATAGGTCCTCTATTTTCTAAGAATTAACGAGGATTCGTGTATTTTTAATAAATGGTTCTTTTCCCTTTTTCATATGTAAATATGTAAAAAAAAATAATAAATCATTTTGTTGTTCCAGTTACTTTTTTATTCGTCGCTGAAATATCCCACACCTGATCCTTACGCGGTATTTTACAAAACTTTAGATCGTACAGCAAATTTTATGCTGACAAGAAAATATTTTTCAGACTATTTTCCTAGATCGATTTAAAAAAAAAATCATGCAGAGCTCCATGTGGACCTGTCACCAAGCTACTCCAAAATATTTTTTTATCGTTCTAGGTCAAAAATAAGGGGACCCCTATTTTTTCTTTTTCTTCTCAGACGCATAGTTCCGTCTATTATGTACTCGGAAAATTCATCGCTGAAAAGAAAAATTAAAAAAAATTTTCCGATTGCATTTTGATTGCTTATTTTTTTATTTTTTGACACGATAAAATAATTCTTATTTTACCTGATAGAGGGAATGGCGCCCTTCAAATTTACCTTTTAAAAAATGTGAATAAATGCATTTTTCGTCAGAAAATGAATTTTTTCAAAAAAGTGCATCTGAAAAAAATTTGTTTTCTCAAAAAGGCCATATTTTTTTGCTCTCAAATTTTTTTTGGAGATTCTTAGTACCAATACCTTCAAATCTATCCTTCTGAAATTAGCGGTTTTATCGCATAAAACTTAAAAATAAAAAAAACTACAATAACGTGAGAATAAATTAAAATATTCATTTCTATTCAATTATATGGTTGCCGAAGTGATTTTGTGAAAAAAATTTCATCATAGACGTAGATTGAAATATGCTTCATTTCCGAGATATAGAGCATTTAAATTTTAATTTTTTATTTATTTTTATTATTTCAGTTTTAAAGATATTGACTCAAAATTCGAAGCACGCTATAGAGGGATAAATGGGCATTTTTCGGGGTGATCTAATATTTCTACTTGCACTAGTGGCGTTGGTGTGAAAATGCCACAACACTTTTTAATAAAAATAAATGGTACGCCACTGACTTTTCCCGTTTTGATATTTTTTAGAAATCCATCATCAATTCTGAATGAAATTGGTTCCTTCAATTTTTTCGTAGGATGCACCGTTTTTGAGCAAAAAATAAACATATTTTATTGTAGGTTTTGTTAATCTTCTATTTAAGGGTTTCTTTTAATAAAACGTGGTAAAAGTAAAAATTCAACATTAAAAATGAAAAGTTGATATGAATGAGGGTAAAAAATTCTTCGATTTCAAGATGCAGGATGATCAAAACTGAAATAATTAATAAAAATAAGTAAATAAAAAAATAAAAAATAAATAAAAAACGAAGCATATTTTGACCTACGTCTATATGAACTTTTCTTCACAAAACAACTTCAGCAACCACCCCCTATATATAATTGAATAGAAATGAATGTTTTATTTTATTTTCACGTTATTGTAGTTTTATTTTATTTTTAAGTTTTATGCGATAAAAAGCAAAAACCACAAATTTCAGAAAGATAAACTTCTGCAAAAAATTAACGGAGCAAAAAATTTTTTCGAATTTTTAGTCATTTTTCAGAATGCTGTATCTCAGTTAAAAAAGATCGTATCAAGGTTTTAAAAAAAGCATTTTAAAGCGCCAAATGTCTAGTTTCCAGATTTCTTAGCTCAAAGTTTTTAGGAGCGACAGTCATCGCGAAATTCTAAGAAATAAGACGAAAAAAATTTTTCAATTTTTTCCGTGTTTTTTTCTCGGTCCACGGACTTGGAAAAATTTTTTACGCAAAAATCATGATATGGATTTGATAGCCTGTTCATTCAGCTTTAATTTCTTTTTTTAAATTTTTCTCTACGTTAATTTGACCCGGAGATATTCGACTACGAATACAAAAGCATCCTTTTAGCTTTAACCATCGATATCTCAGCAACTTAATGATCAGACAGAAAATTGACGGGCAGTTTTGAAATCTCGAATAAATTTCCTACAAGGCTATGTAGCGTTTTTGGAAGAAAAAAATTTTCTTTTATCCTCGACATTAAATTGAAAAAAGTGAAAAAAAGTGATTTTTTGACGGTTTTTCCAGACACTTAATCAAAATTACAGAAAAATTTAAAGGAGCAAAATTTACATTTCTGAGCACCCTGTAACGTTCGTAAAAATGAAAAATTTGATTTTTTGTCAATTCTTTCACAATTGGGCATTTTTTGCTCATTGAATTTGAAAAAAAATAAATTTAATTTTTGAAAAATAAAGCTTTTTTTTAATTTTTGAAAATTTACTCTATTTTTTAACAACTCAAGATAAAAATATTGAGTCATTTTTCCTTTTATTTTGAATTAACGAAATTGATTAAAAGTTGATAAATAAAATAAAAATGATAAATGCCGTCTAGGCATGACAAAAATTAAAAAAATTGAAGTCTACAAAAACTTTTGATTAATTTTTTTCACTAGAATTACAAAAAATACAAATACAGCATTCTGAAAAATCACTAAAAATTCGAAAAACTTTGTTGCTCCCTTAATTTTTTGCAGAAGTTTAGATTTGAAGGTATTGGTACTAAGAATCGCCAAAAAAAATGAGAGCGCAAAAAATATGGCCTTTTTGAGAAAAACAAAATTTATTCAAAGATGCACTTTTTTTGAAAAAAAACATTTTTTGTCGAACAATGCACTTATTCACATTTTTGAAAAGATAAATTTGAAGGACTCCATTTCCTCTATCAGGTAAAATAAGAATTGTTTTATCGTGTCAAAAAATAAAAAAATAAGCAATCAAAATGCAATCGGAAAATTTTTTTAAATTTTTTTTTTCAGCGATGCATTTTCCGAGTACATAATAGACGGAACTCTGCGTCTGAGAGGAAAAAGAAAAACTAGGGGTCCTCTTATTTTTGGCCTAGAACAATAAAAAATCATTTTGGAGTAGGTTTGGTGACAGGTCCAAATGGAGCTCTGCATGATTTGAGATGGAATCGGCCCTTTATACATTTCAGATATTTTAAATATCGCTTTGGAGTCAAAAAAATATTTTCTAAAATTTCTAGTACAGTCAAAGCTCCTTATTTGCGGATTCGCTATTCGCTGACCAGTTTCTGTATTCACAGGTGAAAAATTCTGTATTCGCGGATTCAAAATAACGATACATTTCGTATTTTTAGAATAATGTGTGTATTTATTTGTCAAAATAAACAAGTAGGTATCAAAATATTTATAAACAAACAAACCTTAGTGACGTGAAGCCCAAAGTCCTTTGATAAAAGTTGCCGCTAACGCCACTAGTTTACACGTACCACTAAGGCCCTCGATAAATGCGACAAAATTTTAAAAATCTGAGTGAAGGATGGCAAATGAGCTTTGCGATTTCTTCATAAAAATTGACCCGTCTCACAGTGGGAAATATTGTAAAAAATTCTCGCCACTCGCCAATTTTCATCGTTTCGTCGTGATTTTTTTTAATAATCTCGTGGTAATCTGAATTTTCATATTCCGGTGAGGTTTTTTCGAAAAACCCTTTTTTTTTTTAACGCTTAGGGAGCGCCCCAACCTCAATGTCGAAACATTGGAGAAAATTTTTTTTACATGCCAAAAGTACGAAATAGATTCAATAGAACCCTACGTAACATGTTATACTCAAACCATGAATTTGAATCTAAAAAAACTAACCTCAAAACCAACATTAACTAAGTTTAAACTCGCTAAATTAAGGATTAATAAAAAAAATTAATAATATCTTTATTGTACAGAGATTTTTTTCTACAACTGAACATCGAGTATTTAAAAATTTTTTCTTCGACATTGAGGTTGGGGGCGCTCCCTAAGCATTAAAAAAAAAAGGGTTTTTCGAAAAAACCCCACCGGAATATGAAAATTCAGATTACGAGATTATTAAAAAAAAAATCACGACGAGACGATGAAAATTGGCGAGTGGCGAGAATTTTTTCCAATATTTCCCACTGCACGTCTTTGGAAAGAAGTCTTGTTTTTAAGAAGCAATTAGCTGCGAAAAAAGAAAAAATCACTAAGTTACTTAAATCATTGCCTAAACCTGATAATAATAATTAATATTGTCTCGATAAATTACTTTTATTACGACATTGTATAAGTAAATACTTACTTATACAATGATTACGATATTTTTTTATTATTTTGCAACATTGGAACGTACCCCTATATTTCCATATAAAATGACACTCCGTATTCGCGGTACATTTTTGGAATATATCTCTCGTTAATGAGCTTTGACTGTGCATTCTTCAAAACTTGAAAATAGTGTTTAAGACAATTTTCGAAAATTGCGAATTATTATTGCAAAAAACGATGGATGTTGATAAAATTTGTAAAAAAGTCAGTCAATTCAAAGACCAACATGCATGCCAAAGACCGATATAATTGACCGTGAAATTATTGCTCCAGGTATTTTTTAATTAATTTCATTCGTTTTTTTGCAACTAATTGTTTAATTACTAAAGGTTAATTTTAGAACTTAATATAGATATAGGTTCTAATTAATCCAAAGAAACTTATCGAAAAATAAAGATTTCAAAAAGTTGCCCTTTATAACTAACAAAGTAGGACGTGCAAAGCAGCGTTATAAACAAATTCTCAGGGTCAGGCAAAAGCTGCTCGGGAATTCGCTCTTTTTGCATTATATTAGAGCTTATTTTTACGATAATTTAAAAAAAGAGAAATCACGTACGCCTCTTTGTTCCCAAGATAGCTTCTTTTTTTATAACGTTAATAGTTAATTAACTATTTGACGTATCGGACTGGGATTTTAGAGATAATTAAAGATAGGAGGACGCGTAAACAAGTCTCATACGATATTTCGCATATATTGATAACTGGAACATTTTCTTCCTGAAAATGCCTGCTTCATATGTGTATTTGCATCAAATACAAGCCTACTGAAGTTATTTAACATCGCTACAAAAAGTTCCGGAGTTGGTTGAACATGGATCGATTTCAAAGAATTATGTGGACGATTTTCCCCACAGAATGACAGTCTTAAGTGCATTTCTATCAAATACAAGCCTATTGGAATCATTTAAGATATCTACAGAAAGTTCCAGAGTGGGAAAGAAATTAACCGATTTTTAACTTGCATCAAATGAGATTAAAGTGGACCTAAAAGTTGAAAATTTGGTTTTTGGTAATATCACGTCGATAAAAATCCCAACAAAAACGCATTATTTATTAAATTTTATTAAACATTGTTTGGATTAGTTCAATACCTTTATCATAATTGTGACAGATTTTTAAACAATTTATTGGGTAAGTGTAAAATAAATTTTTAGTTTATATAAAAAATTTGTCTGTTTCCACAGATATTCTTTATGCTATAACTAAATAAGTTCGGTCGGTATAATAAAAATTTATATTTATTATTTTTCATATAAAACACCTACAATTCTTGACATTATTCAAAACACTATTTCACATACACACCTAATCGATCTCTCCCAGGTAAATCTGTTTATCGCTACCGCAAGACACAACGACAGGCTCGTTTGGGTGAAATTTGGCATCGTTGACGCTACCGTTATGCCCCGGAAGCTTGTAAAGGATCCTCCTGGATGTCGTATCCCAAATATAAACAAACCTGTCTGCCGATCCGCCGGTGACTTTTGTCCCGTCGGGGGACCAGGCGCAGCGTAATAAGTTCTTCTCGAAGTTATGTTGGTGACCGGTGAAAATCTTAACGCATCGCTCTACGGGAGCGTACGGCCTCACGTCCCATATCCGCAATGTGTTGTCCATGGAATTACTTAGCAGATATGAACCGTCGGAGCTCAATGAAAGCCCCGTGACGGTGTCTGTGTGACCTTTTAACGTATATATAACTTCAGTCTTACGGACGTCCCACACCTAACAAGGATAAAATATTATAAAAGTTTTAAAAAATAATATGAAATACCTTTATATCGTTATCGATGCCTCCACTAAATATATGCTCCGCGGTGTCGTTAAACGTTACAGCTGTGGTCTGATAAACGGTATTCATACTTGACACGGATTGTTTTTTCCTCGTATCCCAAACTTTAATTGTGCTATCATCGCTTCCAGAACACATTAACTGCGGGCCCCTTCTGGCTCCTTGCACGGCATTGACAAAAGTCGTATGGCCCTTGTATTTTTTGATACGTTGTGACGTTACTATGTCCCACAAACCCAAGGTGTTATCGGTGCTTGAGGTAAAAACATGTGATCCATCGGTGGTAAAATGTAACTCCGTTATAGCACCTGTGTGGCCCGTCATTACAGAAATGTTTTCGCATTCTCCGTAAACACTCCAGAGAACTAAAAGTTGTAAATATTAACACCAGATAGGTGAAATATGAAGGAAAACTTACAAATTTTCCGGTCAAACCCGGAGGATGCTAAATATTGGCCCTCGGGATGAAAATCTACCGAGAATATCTCTCCTTCATGTCCTTCCAACAGCATTATAGGAGCAAATAAGTTTGAGGTTCTTGCTGGTGCCTAAAAGTTCAATAAAAGTATGAATATAATATTGCTTTTGAACATAATTGTACTTACCGCTTGTAGCACTGAACTGTTTTTATTCTTAATAGCCACTTCATTTTTGGATCTTTTGTTTGAAGGAACAAGGGCTGATTCATCCGCCTTCCTTTTATTTTCTATAGCCATTTTTACTTATGCAATCACCTTTTTCTTTAGGATAAATAAATTTGTTATAAACTAGACAGATCCTAACCGCACATTTTCCTCATAAACTGAAATATTTGCAACTTCCTTATCGACATTACTAATGTTAGATATGTGCTAATGTTCCTTTCTCTGGGCAAGAGCAGGAAGCTCTTAATGAGCTCAAAAGCTCCGGCAACTATTGGCTGCTGTTTCAGAAATGATTTGTTAATTCCATGAATAGCCAATAAACGCTCGAGTTTTGAAGCCTACGAGCTTTAAGCACATGAAAGGAATATCTTTCGTTATTCCGTGATTGTACTGTGATATCGACCGAGAACAAACTACAAATTACCAACAAACAACTTTTTCAAATTGAACGTCACTGTGAAAGGTGGGTGACCTTTTGTGGTGGGTGAGGTTATATTTCTTTGAGTTGGCGGCTTCTTTTGGAAGGGAAGCAAAATATTTTAATATTTCTGACAGACTTCTCTTTTGGTGGTTTTTAATTGTTCACAAAAAATGAATAACAACGATGGTCTCTTGTGCTGTGCTGTTAATATAGAATGGACAAATAAACAGGGTGTTGTTCAAAGAAAAGTGGCGCATAAAAAAGCCAACTTGCATTTAATCAGAGACGAACGAAGGGAAATTTTCGTGGAAATCTCTACCGCGAAGACATCTCCAGTAAAATTACTTTTAAAAGGTATTTCCGTTCATAAAAAGTTCATGAATGAAGGAAAAGCGTCTATCAAATTCCAACCTCTGAATTGCACGTTATATCTCTCTAATGCACCCCCTGGGCAATTATTAACATTCCTAAGAACTGTATTTGTTAAAATGACTGGCGAGAAAAGCAATGCAAATCCTAACACCTCCCTAAGAACCCAGTTGTTGTCTGGTAAACCCAAACAATATGAAGAGATATCGCCCGTTACTAATGCAGATATAGACAAAGCAAGAGCTAAAGTAAGTAAGGGAACTGACACCACGCCCAGCCCTCTAGCTGGGAAAAAGAGAAAATTGGAAAGAGATGATACAGTCCGACCTCCTGCAGCTAAAAAGTTATACACTGCCTCTCCTATACCAAACGAGCCTTTAGATTTGGAACAGCAAGAGGTTCTCGACGCCTGCCTGGCAGGACATAACTTATTTTTCACTGGTAGTGCAGGCACCGGAAAGAGTTATCTCTTGAGAAGGATTATCGGTGCTCTGCCACCCGATGTTACCACCGCAACTGCTTCTACAGGTAATAACGTAAAACTTTCTTAAAACCTGGGATGATTTTTAAATTTGTTTAGGTGTAGCCGCTTGTCACATTGGAGGTGTTACCCTCCATCAATTTGCCGGCATCGGCAGCGGAGAAGCAACACTAGAAAGAAGCGTTGAACTGGCGTCAAAGCATCCCACTGCCAGCATCTGGCGCAAATGCAAGCACCTCGTCATCGACGAGATATCCATGGTGGACGGAGAGTATTTCGAGAAGATCGAACAGGTGGCGAGGAGGGTGAGGCGAAACGAGAAGCCTTTCGGGGGAATCCAGCTGATTCTGTGCGGAGATTTCTTCCAGTTACCTCCGATAAGCAGGCCTAAGCTGGGCGAAACCAAAGCGCCACCTCCGAGGTTTTGTTTCAAGACCAAAGCTTGGGAAGACTGTAAACTGATCACTTTTGAATTGAAACGGGTCCATAGACAGGACGACGACCGCTTCATATCGATTTTGAACAAAATCAGAATAGGTAATACTACAAATACAATACAGCCGACTGAAAAGAAAGAACTTCAGCTGGTGACTGAATGTGTGATTTTAATACGGATGTTGTCAAAGTTAGGAATAAGGACACTAGATGGCGACTCTCTCATAAAATTACCGTCTCCCTTGTATTTGAAAAATGACTTAAAATTAGCGGATCGGCTTAATTTTTCTTATTTCCTAATTAATATGCATTTTGTTCTTGTGGCTTCTTTTAGAACCAGTTAAATTTACACCTACAGTGTTTCTTGATGTAGATTTCTACATAAAATTAGAAATTAAACACAAAAAATTTCAGGTCAGGCGGACAAAGAAGTAACGAACGCTTTGACGGCTACGGCGAAGCAGAAAATCGAACAAGGCGACATCCTGGCCACCAGACTCTGCTCCCACACAAAAGACGCCGATATCATCAACGAAACTAAACTGAAGGCCCTGCCCGGAGAACCTCAAATTTTCGAAGCTCAAGACTCCGTTCCGGGCACGACGAAACAACTGGACAACCAAACGCCTGTTCCCAACAAACTCGTACTGAAAATCGGAGCTCAGGTTATGCTCCTCAAGAACATTAGCGTGGTTTCGGGCCTGGTGAACGGCGCGAGGGGTGTCGTGAAGACATTCCGAGACGGTCTGCCGGTCGTCCAGTTCAGGAATAAGGAATACATCGCGAGACACGAACGGTGGGTGATAAAAACGGCGAGCGGCGGGTCCTTGGCGAGGAAGCAGGTCCCCCTTAAGTTGGCGTGGGCTTTCTCCATCCACAAGTCGCAGGGTTTGACTTTAGATTGTGTGGAAATGTCGTTGGCAAGGGTTTTCGAGGCGGGACAGGCCTACGTGGCACTGAGCAGGGCGCAGAGTTTGGAGACGCTGCGCGTGTTGGATTTTAACTCGGCTCAGGTTTGGGCCAATCCCGATGTTCTTCAGTTTTACAGACATCTGGACCGAACTAGGATCGTACCGTTAGGGCCGGTTAATAAGTTGAACACCGTTAAGAAGGTGGGGAAAAAACGGGTGCCTTTGGGAAAGTCGAAGTTATTGGAGAAGCCTTTGGTTAATATATGTTGACGTTGGTTTTAGGAGTATTTAGATTTTAATTCTAGTTCGGTTACGTCCAATACGAGTAAGTTTTAGAATAAAAAACGTAGGATGGGTAGGTCTATATTATGTGCAAATCGTGAGCGTCAGAAAATTTTTTTACTGAAGAGAAAAATATTTTTATATATATCATATCGAGAAAATAAAAACGTGTTTATGATGTATTTAACAATTAAAGGTCCAGGGTACAGGATGTGAGAAAAGTTCCATTAAGGCAAAACCAGTGACGGTTCGCAAAAATTAACCTAACCAATTTGTGTTTTAGGAGATCATTTCTAAGCTCACGTAGATAACTTTCGCGAAGAACAAATTTCGAATGAAATTTCCGAAAAAACATTCAAAAAGGGTGGCCGATCCTGAGATCTCGAAAAATGTTGCACATATATTTGCGGAATGTAACGAGCGTTCAAATAAAAACGTGGTCAAGTTGGTTCTGAAAATTTGGACGTAGGGCGTAGCGTATAGCAAATGAACTTAAACGTCATCTGTCAAAGCGCTGTATCGCCGCTTTGTTATTGAAACTGACAGCTGCTATACAGCTCGTTGAGAAATGAGGTTAAGTTGGTCGCTATAAGCTACGCCCTACGTCCAATGTGTCAGAGCCAACTTCGACCACGTTTTTATTTGAACGCTCGTTATATATTTTTATAATCGAACAGGCGTTTTCTTATTTTTTGCAAAATTTTCATTTTTCTTGATATTACAGCATTACGAAGTTTGAATATTCGCTTTTTCAAAGTTCATAATAGTCATTTTAAAAAAAAAAGAAAATTTTCCAAAAAATATGAAAACTTCTGTTTGGATTTATCAATTTATTATGAGAAAAAGTATATTCAGCAAACATATGTGCAACTTTTTTGAGATTTCAGGGTCGACCGCCCCCGTCTTAAATTTTTATTCCACAAATTTCGTTCGAAATTTTTTCGTCACGAAAGTTCGCTATGTGGGCCGCAAAATCATTCTCTAAGAAATGATACGGGCCCCAATCTTCGTTACTAAAATATAACCACTTTAATTTTCGAGAGCCGTCACTGAATGTGGCTGAACATACAAACAAAATGAAAGAACGCTAACATGGAAAATACTTCTTTTCTTTGTTATTTCTTACATTAAGTGCGGAAAATTATGTTTTTAAATGTTCGTAGTTAACAGAAAAGGTTTCACATAGGAATTTTCGGAATCAGTATTCAACCCTGGGATTTTGGAGTAAAAAATTTTCATCTCCACAAAAGCGGTAGTACCTAATCGGAAAAACTTTATATCGGTACAAAAATAGAGGTCAGATTTTGGTAGTGAAGCATGGCACGTTTTTGGAGGATGATTTGTAGGACTTTCCGTGACGGAATAATTTCGAACCAAATTTTCGAAATAAAATTTAAATTTTTTTAAACCTACAGTATTATGAAGTTTGAAAAACGGATCATTAATATCAAAATTAAGTTTAAATGGATATCGCTATTTTTACCTTTCTGTTAATAAATTTCTCAAGTATTTATTTTGCAAAAAAAAACATAATTGTACGAAAATGTTATTAACAATTTTTTTGAGATAAGGGAGCTTTTGCCTCACACTGTTGGAAAGGAACTTAAGCGTTGTCAAAACACTGCCATTTTAATGTGTGATATACTTTTACATACAATTTTTTTAGCTAACTGGTATTTAAACCACAAAAGTATTATATTCCTTCTATTCTTAATCTGATAAAAATGCCTTTGTTACATTATTCCGAAATATTTCCTCAATAGAGAAAATGGAAAATTCAGATCAACATGAAAAGAAATAAAATATACATACACATTTGTTTTTTTTTTTAATTTCTATCATTTCCTGCTTCCTATCACTAATACAAGAAATTGAAGAAAAAAATTAGGGTAATAAATAAAATATAAATTTAGTATGTTTACTTACTAATTAGGTTAACTAATTTTTGGTACAATATTATACAGATTTGTATTATGTTATGTTATTCCCTCAATCTCAATGTTCGATTTCTTTAAATACAGAAAAGCAATCTTTGATTTGAAATAATGAATTTTGAATCTTGTGTAAGCATTATATTATGGGAATGCGCATGCTTCTGTGCGTTAATTATTTGAATGCGGTGGATTGGATGTAGAACCAATAAGAAATTAAACAGAAAAATGGTACTAACATTCTTTCATGATTCTTTAGTACTAAATAACAATAAACTGAATGTACCGGCACAAAATGATTTGATTACTTTAATAGCCATTCCTTCGATCTCGTTCAGTTCCCCAACCTTAGTGACTAAAGTGATCTGCATTCCCCTATCCCCTCGAGCACAAAAACTTTCCACGTTCCTCGTCTTCGTCTTCCTCGTTCACATTCAAAACGAATCAGGTAAAACTTAACCTCAAATCGATGAAACTGTTAAAAAACTAAAGCTAACTTGAAAAACAAACATGTTTTGTATAGTTCAATCATTAGGGTATTTAAACAATGGTTCAATTCAGAATATGAAGGCACTATTCTTTATTAATTTTCATACTTTTATGTCACTGTCCCAATAAAAAAGTGAAGTGTTGCTAGAACTGTTACTATTACAACTATTACTAGAATTTGAGGCTTTTGTTGAAAGAAACTTAAAAAAAACGCCTACAAATATGAAAATTGAAAACAAAACTATAACCTCAAACATTTAACTCCTTTCAACACCAATATGTTATCCCGATAATTGTTCTTTTGTGTTGAAGCGAATAAAAATCACTTTCATTTTATCAGTTCAGTTTATTCACTTTCTTCAGCATCAGCACGAAAGAATATTAGTAACATAGATGGGAAACAGTGAATTAAACATAGATTTGACAGTAGCGTTTCTGTAGTGCGCACTAATCATAGAACTTCTCAAATTTAAAAACTCCCACCTATTTTGAGTCTTGGACCTTTTATGTCGCCTTTTTATAAATATTTAAATAGTAACGCCATGGTCCGTATTTTTCCTAGGTTCATGGCAAGTTGGCGTAGAGTTTTACGCTAATGCCTAATTCGTTTATTTTATTTACAAATTGCCGAATTCGAGTAAGCCATTGCCATTCGTTCACTGTCAACGCGAACAATCAAGAACAGCGCAACCTGGCAACCAGTAAATAACCGGTTAATGTTTGTTGCAACGCATTGTTAAAGAAAATTTTCAACTTAACGTTATTGAAAATGCCGCGATTTGATGATCACGAGTGTCTTCTCGCGAGGCAGGAGGAAGACGTAGTTAAACAATTCATCGACTCAGGAATGTTCATTTCCATGCGCAGGTGGTTCCGTTCCATGTGCATGATCAGCAGATCCCACCCAAACACGTCGAGGTTTTTCAAATCGAATTCCGCGTGCCGCAACGAAGAAATAAGGCACTTGGTTCATAATTACTACATGATACACCCTTTCAGCAAGCTGAAGTACGTAAATATTAATATTTGTTCGTTAACGTTATCAATAATCTTTTTTCAGTATGTACTGGGAGTTCTTAATATTCATGTTGTTTTTCACGATATTTCTAATCATCCCCGTAGCAGCGACGGTGTCAGTTATGAATAGAGACGAGGGACTAAGCACGACCAAGTTCGTATTGGACATTCTTCATATCGCCGACATATTTAAATTATTTTTCACGGGTTACTACGATCAAGAAAAGAGCAAAGTAATACTGAACTTCTCCAATGTGGCTAAGTATAATTTGTCATACCTATTGCTGTTTTTCGCAATTTACTTTTATATATTTCAGGAAATATGTGCTTACTTTCTTTTTCTTTGATGTTCTTTCCTGCTTTCACATATTCTTGTATTTAGTTAAATACACCCCTCTTGTGATACCTTTAAATATTCTTTTTTTGATGCGGATTTTTAATCGCATTAAAATTGTGAGACTGCCTAGATGGCTAACGATATTGGAATTATTTCGGGAGGTATGTTTGTTCGATTCCTCACTTACATTAAAGCAATAGCACAGACAATATAGGACAATATAGTTTATCGCCTCAGACCGCGCTTTAAATGCTGGAAATTGGCAACCTAAAAAGGATGCAAGGTCTTGTTAGCCGGTATCCAGCTATAAAATTTAGCGTGGTAACTCTTCTACTCAGACAGTTCTGCCGATGGCTTTGTTGCCAAATAATAACTGCCAAATAAATTTAATACATTTAATCATGTAATTGAAGAGTTATATGGAACTTATCTTTTGTTTGGAAATGACATTTGTGTTAAATGCTAAATAAAACTATGAATTTACCTAATTATTTATTTCAAAAAAATTAAAAAATGTAAAATTCCCTTAAGAATAATACCTTTAATAAAATTGTTGGAACCGCAAGGGGTGATACGAAATTTATTTAAAAAAAAAATATCAAATCCTCAATCAATGAGAGATAAGACAATGCCGCCGTTCGCTACTGCTGTGGCAATTATTGACTACTTTTTGTTTTTCGACAGACGGAACGCAGAACGGACAATTGGATAAAATGGGTTATTCTGATGACAAAAAACAAAACATAATTAAACTGTATTATTCAAATAACAATAATGTGCAAAAGTTCTTCAGGAATATCGGCAAATTTATTTTGAAGGACGAATCGCGTCAACGACTCTGTAAAAAATATTATTAGAAACCTTAGGTGGCCAGAAAACAGCCCCGACCTCGGTCCTTTAGACATATTTTTGTGGGGACACTTCAACAAAGTATATTATTAAAGCCCACAATATATACAACTATTGAAAGAAAAAATGCAGGACGAAATGTTTTCTGAATATGTGTTTAAAGCAATAAATAGTAAATGAAAGCATATTTTCAACTGTATCATCACAATTACTTGCATGTTGAAAATTTGTAAAAATTGTAGGTATTTTAATGTTATTTCGTTTTTAGGTATTCTCCTTATATTATAAAAATCATTGTTTGTTATTTCAATAAGGATGAATTTTAATTTTTTAAATGATTTTTTTTTTACTTTAAACATATATGTATTTTATGCCAGCAAATTTTGATTTCAAAAGAAATAAAGGAAAAGTCGTATATTTGTATTTGAAGTTTTGTTCTATCTTTAATTATTAAATGTGAATGTCAAAATACAAAAAAAACCTATACTTACACATTCCGCGACGTACTAATAACCCATCTTGTATATTAAATAAATTTATCATCATCATCAAATATTAAAAAAATTATAGTACAAGCTGTTTAAAATGTCATTTCAATACCAACAAATGAAAATAGTAGCTAATCAACGAAGTTATGATTAAATAACTTAACTGTGACACCGCTGCAGAATGTCACATAGATACATACATATTCGTTGATTCTTTAAAATATTTTTATCAATACCTACATCATACGTTTAAATAAATACAGTAACGGAAAAAATAGATATTGATAAAAAATAGTGTACAAAATAAATCCGTAAGTACATATTGCCAAAGTGTTGTTTATATGTTGCTAGGAAACGCGTAAGATTGCGGGCCGCTGCATTTGATTCTTCCTAAAATTCTGCTGGTGGTGTACTCTATCGGCAATTCGGAAATTTAAAACTTCTGGTCTATTCCAGGAGCGGTCTGGGGCGATACCTATTTTGTTTGTGGCTATAGAAAAGCAATTTGAAATGAGCCAATCCACATCGTTAAAGAAATAGTCACCTTGACTCGACACCTTTAATTTAAAAGAGTTTATATTGTTGCCAATAGATGGCACTGAAATTTAATATGTCGGCTCAATTCAGTGATTCTAATATGTCGGAAATAAAGATGAAGCACAAGCAATTGAGCATCAGTTCGATCAGTATTAAATCTTTGCGATGTCTCATTTCAGATCAATATTAAGTTTCATAAATATGTTTTATAATAAAGAAATATTTTTTTCAGCACATGGGTTATTCTAGTTATCTTTTGAAAGGGATCAAAGTAGTCTTGATATTCGTTGTAGTGATATTTTGGGCGTTTTCTATAAATTTTTACATAGACAACTATATCCTACTGTTCGTTAAAAAAGAGCGGCAATACGATGACGATTGGAGTGCTAAAGTATTAGCGAACCATTACGATGCGACCTTAATGCTCCTGCTGGTAACCTACGGGAAGTACGGCATCTCTGAGGTTGCAGAGTATATAAACGCCATCTTCTTCATGAGCTTTGGATTCGGTTTGCAGTTATTCGTGTTCGGTGAGCAGCATTTTGATTCTTTCAGGTTAAATGACATTGATTAAGCCAGATAAAATTTTCCTGAGTCCGTTGAGTCCTGAAAAAAAAAAAAATTTGGAAGTTTTTTTCTCGAGATATCTCATTTGATTGCCCGACAACCATAACTCAAAAAAAAATTGTCTAAAGAACTTGAAACTAGAGACTTACAACTTCAAAATGCTTTTTTGTTTATTTGAAGACGACCATTTTTCTCAGAAATATTAGTCCGGTCAAATTAGTTATAAAAATAGTTCCGACAGAGCTAAATTTTGGTGGATACCTTGGGTACACCATTAGAAATAAAGTGTCAAAAGTCCCCACCGATCCCATGTGTGCTAAAAAAGTTATTCGGGGTTAAAGGTCAAAATTTGAGGTTTTTTGGATTTTTTTCGAAAACGGTAAGTTTTATCAAAAAAGTAGTTCCGGCAAAAATTATAGATATGAAAATTATCTACAAAAATGGTCCTTATACTTTTTTTTCTAAGAACCACCATTCCTGAGATATCGCGATTCTAAAAGTTGAAGGAGTCACGTTCTACATAATATGCACAATATATGCCACGTATATACAGGGTCGGAAAGTCCCCATGGTTCATCGGCCGTTACGTGAGAGCGATAAAGAAAGTCATAAAAATCCGAATAAGATCAACTTCTTATTTGTGGAAGGGCGAAATGGGCGGTGACTATTAGACGCCTTCATTATAGCCATCTTTCTCTATCGCACGGATATCTATGACTTTCTTTATCGCTCTCACGTAACGGCCGATGAACCATGGGGACTTTCCGACCCTGTACATACGTGGCATATATTGTGCATATCATGTAGAATGCGACTCCTTCAACTTTTAGAATCGCGATATCTCAGGAATGGTGTTTCTTAGAAAAAAAGTATAAGAACCATTTTTGTAGATAATTTTAAGATCTATAATTTTTGTCAGGGCTACTTTTTTGATAAAACACCGTTTTCGAAAAAAATCTACCTTTGACCCCGAATAACTTTTTTAGCACACGTGGGATCGATGTGGACTTTTGACACTTTATTTCTAATGGTGTACCCAAGGTCTCCACCAAAATTTAGCTCTGTCGGAATTTTCGTTATTTGAA